CACTTGAGATGAAGGATAAGCCTAGCAGAAGTTTAGGAGGTAAGTCTTTCAGTTCCCAATTTRCATTATGTGGTATTTAAAACAAAATGAAGTCCTTGAGTACTTATGAAGAGTAACACCGTCAGAAAAGCAAGATACAAATATTTTTATTAGAAGACTTTATACACCAAGACATTATACACCAAGATTTCCCCATCGTACACCAGTATGCCAAGGCTTAACACAGATGCTGCTTTCACTGCTGACACCCTGAMAAGGTACATCACGACTGAAGTAAGTTTCTTCAGCTGTGTAGCACCAGAATTCTCACAGGAACCATAATGATGCCACTTCCTCACTGATACCTGAAAGTGTTAACCTGAAATTGTGTTATCTTTAAAAACGTTTTTATTCAAATACTAGAGAAAGGAATACTGAAACTTCCAAAGTCCAAAAATGTAAGATGTTTTTTGGGGAAGTCTGTTTAGTATGCCTGCTTTGTTAAGACAGCAAAAACAAAAGCAAGCATGACCGTGTACTAAGACTCCTGGGGTAGAAAGAGATGCTTCTAAGAACTTAGTTTAGGAAGTATAGGAGAATACATTTCCCTTTCTTAGCATCAGGCATTTTTTTCAGTAAATGACAAAGATGAGGAAACAAAGAAGATGTGAAATTCTGTGGCATACTAGATGCCWGTTTAGATATTGAAAATTCTTCCTACTAGCGATATTGCACTCTGGAGACAGGAAGCACACACTGGTTCTCTACTTTGCATGTACYGTGGAGAAAAACTAACCTTCCTTCTCTACCATCTCAAAACACTGGAGGCAAAAAATTATTTTTCGTTTTCTAGCTCTAAATTTTTGGGATACCTTCCTCTTATGCTGTTCCTATATGAAGAGCTAAAGCACACTGGCTAATTTAAGGTCCAGTACCAGTACCAACAGGTAACATCAGCTTTGAAGCCCAACCTTYACTACACCAAAGGGGACATCTGGCTGAAGATCACTTCTGTATTTGTTGGGCTTTCAGAAACAAACAAAAAAAAAATCTTAGATGGTATATTTTGGCAAGTCCCTGGTGATATGACTCCAAATAAAACAAAAYTGCTGGAGGTACTCAACTCCCTTCATTTGGTAGATGCAGTGGTAGCAAATTCTCTCATCTGGAGTGGATGAACCTTGGCAGATAAGGGTCAGCCACATTCTTCCATGTTTTCCCATGCTTCAGGGAAAATTCAGGAATGGAACAAGCCAGATAGAAAATGTAAGTCCAGGAAATATTTTTTTTTTTTTGGTTAAGGTATCTTAAAAAATATGATGCAGACTAAGGTAACAGAAAGTGCAGGGAAGGCTCTTACCACTGCTTCTTGGATGGGCTTCCCATAATAGAAAAGCTGGAGGCAGAGCTACAGAGCCAAGTCAGCTGGAAGTAAAACACATGGAAAGAGTGGCGCAGGAGAAAGCTGCAACCCAGCCAGGAGAGCCTAAGTCCCAGACAACAAGGAAAATGCCTCATTCTTTCTGAACTTATTTTTAAAATGTTATATGGAGGAAGAGAGATCCAATTTTTATTATTCTGCAGCACATTAACTTTTGTCTTACTAAAACAGTTACTGAAAGAAAAAAGTTATTCAAATCACTATTTTGAGACAAGAGAAGTAATATTTTTACAGATTTATCTATTATTGTCATTAAAACTCATAGCTATTACTTGACACTTACTCAGTAACATTAATTTGAGAGATTTTAGACCCTACCAATTAAGAAAAAAAGGGATATTCTTCCTTTCCATTTTAAGTTCAGTTGATTCTGGAGACTGCTCTTTAATACAAACAAGCTCTCAGCTCATAGGCTCTGTTCCACTCTTCCAAAAGCATTTGGGAAAAAAGGTCACTTAAACAGTCTTGTGAAGTCTGCTTTGCCTCTGTATATGCATGTTTTAGCCCCTCTGCACATCCACTCATGCTACAGGCAAACCAAGACAACTCAGGTTCTGTTACTCCCTAGGAGAGCAGATTTGCTTCCCAAGAACTGAACTATCAAAGTCAGGTTTTGAACGCTGAAAATGGGCTTTGAAACACATCTCTACAGAGACTACAAAATGTCAAATGCTGTTTGCCAAGATCAGATTCAAGTGGGATCCTGCCCCTCTTCTGATTTTAAAATCCATGGCATTAGAAATAAAAAAAAATAAAAAAAATCAAATATAAGGGGTCAGTATTACATTCATCTGAGGACAGGACCACCTGTGGCTCCAAAAACTTTCCAAACACAGCAGCACCCCAATGTGTCACATCAGAGACCGTTCTGGAGCCACATTCAGTGGAATTAAGAGAAAAAATGCAGTGTCTCATGACATACTTCAGTTTCCTGGTACTAGGACACCATAGCAACCAACAAAGAACAAAGTATGTGTCCAAACAGGTCTGGCATTAGATGATYCTGAAGATTAGATAGACCAGCCAAGAAACTAGTTCCTTACAAACACAAACCGGTTACAAGGACTAGAAAAATCAAGCCATCCAAGTTACAGAAAGACTATGACAAATTGAATACAGGAATATTCCTACATTTTATCACTTCCAAAGTCCCAGAATATTCACTGCAAACTGTTCCTAGATTTGAGAACAATCATTTCAGCTGAAATTACCTAGGTCACAGAGTCAGTACTTAGCAATGTTTTAAGGATGAAAGAAACTAAAATGCAATCGATGGCTTTGCCTTGGACTAATTGACTGGACTTCCTGAAGAGAAGGAGCAGTAAAAGGGCACCTCTGTTCAAGCCTGTCACAAAGCCAGCAATGGTGTTTACAGAAAACTTCAGAAAGAGGTGAGTGGTATCCAGCCAGAAAAGCTTACAGCTGTGCAACACTGAGTTGAGGGGATACTAACTGTGAAGAACAAAACTGGATTCGGAGATGTGGCCCCATAGCAATGCATTTATGAAGAGTACTTACTAACAGAATGGCAAATAACTTCTGTTCTCCAGGCTGTCAGTCCATGTTTCCTATGCCATGCTCACTGTCTAGAGAGAATAAACAGGAAAGCGATGACTGACAGCACTGTTGTTTCCTCTACAGAGGGGCAAAAACCAGGAGTGTCTCTTAAGTGCTTTGGCTTGCTCTCTTCTCTCTGCTGCATGCTACACAATTCCTCAAGAGGAAAATTAAAAGAAAAATCTTCGCAGCCAGTGTTTTTAAAGGAACTAAGATAACTTTGCCTTAATGTGTAAATTTGTAGTTCACTTTACAGAAGAATAAAATAAATGCCCTTAAGATGATGTATCTACAGATGAATAAAATAATTATCCCTTAAGATAATGTGCCTAGAGAAAGATTACCTTATCATTAGAACAATACTGGACATGCTAGGAACAYCACAGGAATACAAATGCCATGAAGTGATTCTCAGTGACAGAYGAGAAGTTCTGAATCCCATTTCTAGCTTCAAATTTTCAATCYCAACAGTAAGTCTCAAGAAGATACAACTCAAATAACACTCCGCATTTTTTCACTAAATTGGCCATTATCTACTGTCACCAGTGTAGGTGAGCCAGTTGATTCAAAGGAATAAACAAGAGAGTCTAAGTCCATAACACACCTGGAAATCACGCACTGCACCCAGTTTCACCTGCTGTATAACTGTGTTGAAATTTCCAACCCATTCAGTTGAATTTGATTAGAAAAACCTGTGACMACAAAGCATATGCCTTCTATAGTTCAAAAGATGGTTTCCAAGAATATACAACTAGGAACCAAAATTCTACTTGTGAGTAAGTGAGGCTGTCTGTAGTGGAAATTCAACTAAGACTACAAAAGGACGGATGAAGGACGATTCACACTGTCCTATAGCACTGTCACACTGGTGAAAGTCCCCCGGCACTACATTATTTGCTCTAGTTCTGAAAATCACACTGTGCTTGACAACTTTCGGTGCTGTGCCTGAACATGTATTAAAATGTTCCATACTAATGAAGCAAAAAATTAATGTTTTGCAATTTAGGGTTGGGGGAAGGTTAAAGAAGAAAAAATAGGGAGGAATTTGTTTCCTAAGCAGGAAAGTCTACATTAATAATTTTCCCAGCAGGCCTTCAGTAGTTTTACTGCAAACAACCAGAGCCTTTGTTTCTCAGATCCTCTTACATCTGACGTTCAAAGCCCTCACATCAGCAGCTCACCAAGGAATAAAAGGGTGAGGCAGAACTGTGYTCCAGAGCAGTCCTCAGAGGTGGTCCAGCAGGGCAGCACACGCAGCACTCTGCACAGCCGCTTGCTCAGACATACCCTCAACAACTCCTCTCATTTCGTGAGTGAAAGAGCAAACAGCTTAAGCGAAAGTGGTTTCATTTGCTGCATGGAATCAGCTAGCCATCTAATCTGCCTTGTTTCATTCCTCGGCTTTAGCAAAATCCTGTGATTAATTCCATGTTTTCAAAAAGGAATGATGTGGAGATRGAAGTGGCCAGGTCTACATCTTCTGAGCAGCATTAGGCTGCAATTAACTCAGCAACACCCTCGTGAGGCCACAAGCTGCACCACGAGCTGCATTCACCTTCCCATTAACACTCTGGAGCTTGGGATATAACAGGAAAGGAAGAAGTGARACTGCAGTGAGACAGAAGAGTCTCTCTTCACCCAAATAAACAGTAGTTAACACCGATTAGAGAAAAAGTATCACTGAATAGGATGGGTTTTCAACAGCAACATGGGAATTTTTCCATTCAGCTTTGCCAAGGGAATTTTGGCCTTTGCAACTTTCCTGTAAAACTAAGATTACACAAACCTAAAAAATTATCTTGAGGATAATTCTTGAGGATAATGAGGAGGAAGGCACCCCTTCTCCAAGAAAGTGTTTGAGGATTTCTTCTGGGCTAAGGGTTTGTGTTGGGTAAAGAAATGCTCCTAACAAACCAGCATTCTTTTCCACATGATCAGAGCTAACTGGCCCCCCTGCAGGCAAAATGACCAATCAAATCAGCTTCAGATAGAAACCAATCCCCCCAGCACTATAAACACAGGAATGAGACATACAAACCCATTTTAAAGGTACTGGAGTTTTTTTTTAAATCTCTACCAACTACTTGTGGGAAGTTTCTTGCTAGTGCTGAGACCAATACACCAGACCAGTCCCTCTCCTGGAGCCCAGGTTACCCCCTCCTCCTGCWCACAAACCGTCTTAAGATTGGTAAGTACATGAAACCATTATATTTTTTTCCTTTTTCTTACTGTACAATTTGAAATTGTTTTGTCATTCTTTAATCAAAGAAAAGTTATTTTGGTGCAGAGTTTTATTTCTAAAGCTTGCTAAACTAAGTACCATCTTAAACAAAATGGTTGCTGATTTTCCCCCCTCAAAAAGAAGAAAATGCTTTCTCAGATGACAGTCTTAAGAGCACAAAGAGCAAAACCAGTCTTTATACTGTATATTTTCAGAAAGTTCTTGAGGTGAACAGTGTTGGAAAGGCTCTGTGCAGAGAGCGAACATTTGCAAGCTGCAGCTACAGCAGCTGGGTGTTATGAAATTAGCCAAGAAATGAAAAAGTCATCCTCACCTTACTGCTCTCATAATAACTCAGCATTTAACTTCAGTTCCATCACAAATTAAAAAAAAAAAAAAACCAAGCTTCACGTCTTCAAACTGGCTTTTACTATCTACAATTGTATCTCAGACTTCAAAAGTTTTCAACCAATGCTTTCATTCCCTGTGCTCATGGATACACAGCAAGCTGGCACCACTGCCAGGACACTACACACAGGAATGGAGTGAACTCCAAAATCCTGGAAAATTCAGCCATTCTAGGCAAGCCATGGAAAAATCTGCATCACACATGGCACAACTGCTCTTCAAAAACAGCAAGTTCCACATAAAAAAGGGTGGTAGCAAACTTCTATTACCGCAGCTTTACGTCAAATAAAAGCTTTCCTCATAACTGTCAGATTTCTTCTCCATTATCAATATTTAATTTTACATTTAAGTTTCTTTATAAAGATTTAATATATACTAGAATATTTTAAAACCTTTACCAAGACTTTGCTTAAATGCTGTTTTTCTGCTTCTCTTAAGGTGGCCAGACTAGTTGGTCCACTCAGATGCTACTTCAAAATCAAGAATTAGTGTTCATATGAATCCTCAGAGTACTTATGTGAAAATACATTATATACAAAATGGAATATTATTTAGATACCCAAAAATTAAGTATATAAGCAGCCTTGTTGCCTGTACTGTAAAAGGAGACATAYTCTCCTATTTTACCACCTCTTTTCTTCAAAGTGCATTCTGTAATAAACTGTCATGAAAAGTCAAATGTACAAGGTCTCACATCCTATCCTTTATGGCACTTGCTTTGAAAAATATGACCATTGTTGGGGTCATCAAATTCAAGTTTCCATTTTTACAAGACCTACTTATATGTTACAAGTCCTGAAAACTGTTACCTTAATTCTGAATACTGCTCAGAAGTAACAGTTTTGTCACAAACTACCTCCATTCATCTCAGAGAAGCATTCGCTACAAAAACAAAGGGACAAACGTTTGAAATGTTAATTGTTCYACTAACAACAGCAGCACAAGCTTTCAACCAAAGTAGCTACTCAAACTGAATTACTTCTTACATTTCTAAGATTGTTCCCTAATATAAATTATATGATTCAGTCAAGCCATCCTCACTGAAAAAAAMCCTTCATTTCCTAATAATAATGTCAGAGCATCTCCAACGGTGGTCATCCAGTCGAAAAATACAATACAGAATAATCTAAACATACACCAAAATAAACATTTTAATAGCACGGAAAGTGCCTAAAAAAAAATTACAATCTCCATTTGTTCTTGTTGCAAAGTGCAGAGGCAGCAAAAGATTTGAACAATGCCAGCTCAGAGCAGACAAGGCTTAAATCTGAAGCTTGTAGGTGATCATGCGGACCCAAGAAAAGAGGGAACATACACATTCCCATAGGGGCACACCGCCACCACCCAGGTTCTAGTAAATCTTCAAAGCATGCTGCAGTTGTAAGCAGTTTCTGCAGTCACTCCCAGAAAACAGCAGGTCCTCATGACCACTTTTCTGGCAGAATGCAGCAGCACAGGATCAACTGCTTCAAATCCTTTCCAAGGTCAATTAAAATAGACTTCATTAAGACCAGAAGCCGAGCAGGTAGAGCAAACTGCAGAAGGCTCCCTGGAACACAGCTCTTCACAAGCTTGCAGATGCATTTGTGTATGGAGCTGAGAACCAGCTAGAAGTGCCACTTCAAATGCCTTCAACTGAGAAGGCAAATGAAAAGAAAATGAAGACAGTGTTTCCAATGAGTTCCCCTGCAACCCTACCAGAGTCCTAAGGAAAAGCTAAGCGACAGGAAAGGAGAGGAAATCAATGTGGAGGTGTGGATGAGGAATGCAATAAAGGCTGTTACAACACAAGGCAGAAGATCTCAAACAAAAAGTTAAGTGTGAGACAGCTTTGTGCTGGATCATCAATTTCAGGAATGCAAGCAAGATCCTAAAGCTGTAAGGCAAGGTTTYATTACACATGAATCATTAGATACCCAGGCCAGTTTAAAACCTGTCCTACTACTAGAAGAAGGAACCTGAAGCTCTTAAAAAAATTAATATTCACCCGACCTTGATTTGTCTTAGAGGAGAGTATAGAAGAAAGATGCCAGGATGAGGGACAAGCTGGTAAAAAGACTGGAAATCAATAAAAGCTAAGAACTGGCATACACACTGGTRTTGATGATAATTTAGCTTACAAGAGACTGCAAACAGGAAGGATTACACACAGTAAATGCATGATAAGGGACTGGTCAGCATGCCAAAAGAGGTTTAAAAAGGAGATTTTGGACAATTCCTGTTTTTTGAATCAGGGGCTATCAGGTAGGAGATGTAGGGACAAGAAACACCCCAAAGCTTCAACAGGTGCACAAGTCAAGAACCAGGAAAAGCAAAACCCACTAAATAATGTAACATAAAGGTTTTTAAGAGACCACTGGACAAATCTAGATTAGAAACCATGCATGCATGTTATAGTGGAGATAAGCATTCTCCRACAAGCATAGAATTTTTCTTTTCAAGTCAAAGTAAATTCCTTTCCTAAAACATACACCATTTGACACTGGGATTAATGTGGAGTCATCAAGGACCATGTCAGGCAGGGGACTGAAGCAGGTGGTCCAAACTTCATTAATTTACCACTAACAAGGAAAGATGGCATTTGTCTTTTTTAATTATAGGCAAGGAAGGGAGCAGACAGAAGACATTAATACTTTTTAAATTCAAAATCTACTCTTAATCTSACTCTGCTTTTGAGAATACAGAGGACTGATCCTCCAGTCTGGGTACACTATTTTCCACAGGGCAGTTATTCTTTCACCGCTTACCCTCACCCAACTRCATTGCTTTCAGAGCTTATTTACAGTTTCTTATCTGTTCTTATTCCAAGAAGCTGAGACTTGTGGCTCCTAATCCTTCAATAGTGCTTGAAAARGGGGTGTTGGAACTCAAGATTACATATTTCCAATGTTATTCCTGCACTGAAATAGAGAAGTAACAATTTCAACRGTCCTAGACTAGAAAAATGAGAGCACTCTATCAAATGAGACCAGTGCATAATCTSGGGTAACCTCAGAAGGCAAATTCATCTGCTGGGAGACTCAAGGAGCAGAGACACAGGACTGTTCTGAAATGTACYGCTATGGGGCTAATGGAGGCTTCTCTTTCTGAACTACCTACAAAACCTGTCAGGAATCAATCCTTCCCCATTGAAAAGATCCCAAAGAACCTGACCGATTTCTTTCAGTGTTTTAAGACAACATTAAGTGACTAATCACCACCCTAAGAAGCTGCTTAATTGACAAATCTGAGATCCTGCAATGCTGACAACATTTGCTCTAAGTCTGTGGTGTTCAAGCACACTGCCTTAGCACTTGGGTGAAGATTGAAGCAYAGCCAAGAAAAATTTACCATATTAAGAATGTTTTCCCTTTTTCTTTATGTATCTAACACAGCAGGAAACTGTTCTATCACCAATCAGTCATTATCAGATTCATTTTCACAACATGTATTTGTTTTGTGAACCCAAACTGCTTAGTCTGCAAAGCAGACGGTTCCCTCAAAGTACCATGAAAATTTACAGAAAAGCACAACTTTTGGCTTTTGGTTGTGTTTTGTTTTTTGGGKTTTTTTTTGTTGGTTTGCTGGTTTGTTTTGAATGCATGATGCATCAAGAAGCATTTCATTGTGTAAGTGTTCTCTATTCAAACAAGCGTTTCTCGTCAGTACTGCTTATTCTAAGATTATAAAACCAAGTCACAACTCCTTTTGAGCATGGTCTACATCATCCTTCCCATCTAGAGATGCCCATTTTCTGTTCTTTCAAGGCCTCTAGAAAGACTTGTCTAAAACKTAACATGAGGACTATGCTCTACAGACAAGTCACTAATCATTAGATTACCAAAGCATTTATAATGGTATTCAGGTTACTATGCAGCAGAAGTGAGAACTGCCATTCAGGGAGCTATGCAGCAGATTAAAGAGCCAACTCAGTGAAGCGGGACAGATCATGCTACAAACTGGATGGACTATGACCAGAACAGCCCAAGAAAAGTAGCCTGGTACCATACACAAGGAGAACCTCAGTAAATCCGCCATGGCCTCTGACACAGGGAATGGTTTCAAAATACGCCTCCTGGGAAACRTGAACTCAAAAATTAAAAATGAGGGGAAAACCACCAAATTCCACTCAGCCATCATCTACTCTCCCTCTCACTAGAGCATGGATAGAAGTAACAGCTGGATGGTTTGGAGAAGCTGCAGAAGAAAAATGAAAATTTAGCTAAATAGTGACTGTGATGTCAAKCCTCACACCTCAGTAGGCGCTAAACACAAGTAAAAGCAGAAGAGAATGTTTTGTAGTTACTAAAATTTGGTTGAAGATTAAGCAAATAGTAATGGAAACCACTGGTTCATAGGATCAAAGATCACAAGACAAATCTTCACTACCATAAATTTATKCTGAAGTTCATGATCCTTACATCTAACGCATTTCAAGAGAAAACTAAGACAGCACTGCTGGGGGGGAGGGGGAGGAAATCCAATCTCTCTACAAAAAAATGCAACAGACTGAAACAGTCATAATTTTTAAAAAGGTCAAAATTGATAGGACACCAAAACTGACATGGTGTATTACACCATGTATAATTATGATTTCCAGAACTTACATGTATGTTTAAATCCTCTGTTGTTCTATGAACAAGCTTCCTGATAACCTTCTTTAAAAATGTTGTAAACATTATGAAGTATTCATTTTACACAAATCTGTATTTAATTTTAATCTGTCCCAAGTGAACTTTAAACATCTAGTGTTTATACAATGTATGGCTTTGAGTGACCAGCGTCTTTTCTAAAGACATTTAGCAGCTCTGGCAAATTCCACAAGCTTTGAGGTTTAAAAGCAAACCAAGGAGCCTAACATGTCAAATATCTACAGGTTTCTATTTTATTTCCCACGTCTGCAACTCCACCTTAATTTCCGTAAGTTTGCCGCCCTAGAATACTTGGTCACTAATACAAATAGCACTGCTCAGGCAAACTAGACTGGAATTCATGTCACAGTGTAATTTCTGTATTGGTCTCCTGCCCTCTTTTTACCTGACCCTTACATAAACAGCCTCAGACTTCCAGAAGCAGCYCTGCCCTAAATATTGTAATTCTGCTTAACTGGATATGGTGGATGCAGACAGCAGACAATTCTTGAGCTAGGAGAGTCAGAAAGGGCTAGTAACTAAACTACAACATTCCCCTAAAATGCAAAAMTATATTAGAGAAATAACATTACAAACATTATTTCCTCAGTAATATTGTTAATAGCATTCACAATAGTATTGGTAAATTATTATATTCTGCTCAAATGAAGTTACAAAACCTGACATAATCAGACAAAATTCAGTTCCTTTTCACACACAATATGCCTAATCYCATCCCACTCTCCCCCAAAGAACTAAAGCATGTGACTCCAATGTAAATTTAGGAAAGTAAAGTATGAAATTTRTATTTATTTAAACAACTAAGCAGGGAAAATTTGAGAAGTAGTCTGATTTTTAAACCTAATCTTTTTTTTGCAAAGTATTACCACAAACAGCAGTAAATTCCTCTCCAGGCTCCTGACTTAATCTTCTCTGGATTGCAATGTATAAGCCCTCCTTTGTTGGCTGCAGTATTTCAACCCCTGCTGATGTGTCAGAAACTGTGAATGTTAGGCAAAATACAAACGTGGCATTGTATCACTTTTTCCGTTTCTTCTCCTCTCCAGAAGATGACAACAGATATGATAGAGAGCAACAGCACCAAATCCAGAGCTCCCCTCCTGACTCAGAGATACCTGAGGCTGGTGACCAAGGATGGACACAGTACGTTCCAGATGGCYGGTGCCCAAGGCAGAGGTGTCGCGTACCTCCGAGACGCATGGGGGATACTCATGGACATGCGCTGGAGATGGATGATGCTCATCTTCTCGGCTTCCTTTGTCATTCACTGGCTGGTCTTTGCAGTGCTCTGGTATCTGCTGGCGGATGTGAATGGGGACCTGGAGCTGGACCACGATGCTCCACCTGACAACCACACTATATGTGTCAAATATATCACCAGTTTTACAGCTGCCTTCTCCTTCTCAYTGGAGACACAACTCACGATTGGCTACGGCACCATGTTCCCAAGTGGGGACTGTCCCAGCGCMATTGCACTGCTGGCAATCCAGATGGTCCTGGGGCTCATGCTGGAAGCCTTCATCACAGGTAATCGATTCTTCCTATTCCATCTTCACACACAATAAGTGTAACAATTGGATTTAAGAAGGGAGCTAGAAATAAATACTGTTCATTTTGATATATGAAAGAATAATTAAGGTAGTCACTTCAAAGACGATGAAATTTCAGCTACGCAGTACTGGAAGTTAAACTCCTTTCATGAACAAAAAACAAATCAGGTGTTATCAATATCTGGACTTAAGAATTTCATTATTCATTGGATAATACTCATGGCAGATCGCTGTATATCACTCTCAATCATTTATTTTGTATGCCATTATCCCTCTGAGMTTTTAACATATAACTACAATATTTGAAGTCAATTTGTTTTGACTTTTAAGGTATATTTCTGTTTAGATGAGCTATCTTCATTGATCTTTAATTCAGTGTTTATGTATTCCTCAGTACTCAAGGTAATGAAAATTTTTACAAYGTCACAGCTATTTTGAGGCATTTTAATTATTTAAAGTATTTTTCATATTTAAAGTAATTCAAAATACTTTGAAAATACACAGGTTACTGTGTATTAGAAAGAGCTTCTACACAGCAAGATCAGTTCCTATTACCAATTACAGTAAGTCAGGACAAGCTAACAGCCTCCTTACAGCTACAGTCCACTTTYAAATATCAATAAGTGACTGCAATTTAGAAAAATAAGCATTTTAGGACAGCTACAGTGCAGTTTTCAAGCATGGTCTTTCCAACCTCAGTCTGCTTCTGCTCTGTTGGAGCCTGCCCCCAGGCCTTGTGTTCGCACTCACTTTGCTCTTTCCCATGCTCCAGGTGCTTTCGTGGCCAAGATCGCACGCCCCAAGAACCGGGCACTCTCCATCCGCTTCTCACGTTCTGCTGTGCTCACGCACACCGAGGGGAAGCCACACCTCATGTTCCAGGTGGCCAACACTCGTTCCAGCCCCCTGACCAGCGTCCAGATCTCTGCTATACTTTACCAAGAATGGGAGAGCGGGCAGCTGTACCAAACTAGCATTGACTTCCATCTGGACAGCGTCATGGCAGACGAGTGTCCTTTTTTCATCTTCCCACTAACCTACTACCACTCCATCACTGCATCCAGCCCACTGGCTGCTCTCCTCCAAAGAGAAGCCCCYCACCACTTTGAGCTGGTCGTCTTTCTGTCAGCTGTGCAGGAGGGCACAGGAGAAACATGTCAGAGGAGAACATCCTACCTCCCATCAGAGATCCTGCTGTACCACCGCTTTGCCTCCMTGCTAGCCCGCAATGCCAAAGGTGAATACCAGATCAAGATGGAGAATTTTGACAAGACTATTCCTGAGCTCCCAGCTGCAGCTGACTCAAAGAATCCAAAAAGGACTGACAAGGAGATCCGCATCAATGGACAGCAYGCCGACAGCTTCCAGCTCTCCGAGACTGGCCTCACAGAGTAGAGAATATAAACCTTGAACTTCATGCTTTTTTTAATTATTACTACATTAAACTTTCAGTTTCCATTTAAAATTTTCCTTCCTTGCCTGMCCTGCCATCTTCTAGTGATCTCTCTTGAACTCCCACCCTTTTGATTACAACATGATATACAGAGTGAAAAGAATTTGTGTGCCCACTGAGGAGAGGCTGCATTAACCACTTGGGACAAAGTCAGGTACATAAATYGAAGAACTAATTCTTGGGAAATTAGAAGAGCTACCTGCTGAATTCACCAGACTATGATTAAAGCCGCACTGACCCTGAAAGGAGATACCATCAAAACACCCAAAGATGAGCAAAGTCATTAATAACCAGCTTGTGACAAAATGGACAACAATACAAAAGCAGAAACCAGTATGGGGTCATTCAGAAAATACATGAGTTCTGGTATAAGTAACTGTTCATCCAAGAGCCTAGCTTTTCTGTTCTCTTAACTCTTTGGGAACACAGAATTATACCATTTTGCAGATGGCTGAAAGTCCTGCCAATCTCTCATGGCAGTGAACAGCACTCCTACTGTGGTTATTAAGCAAAATTGTAAATAYTAAGGGCAGTTCTTCATTCTGCCAAGTAAGAGAACATGTCATTTACACACAGGTCTATGACGACACTATGAAAAAATCTTGATGTATWTGACAAATACTGCAATGGAAACTTTGTCTTATTTGGAAACACTGAATAAATTATTTAGCAGTAGAAAAAAAAAAGGACTATTTTTAATGAACGTACTTTTTTTTTAAAGACCCATACATTCCACATTTTCACCTTTGCGCTGCTTGTCTCAAGTATATCTGACCCAGAAGGATGCAATACATATATGAGAAGTAGAACTGCTTCCATTGGTATTTTATGCTTCTAACATTAATCTTTGCCTGTACACACAGCACAAAAAAATATTTAGAGACACTGAATCAATTTTGAAATAAAAAATTAAAACAAGCTATACATGAGACTTCTGTATTTAAGTGCCTCATAAACCTACTGCAATTAAGATGCTGAAAATCCTAAATAATTTATGATGCTAAAGGAAAAAAACAGTGATGATAACTATTTCCAAGCTCTCAACAAAAGCAGTGCCTATTAGGTGTTTATATCTGAACACAGAAGCTTATTGAAATAAAGTTATCTTTCAAAGATAAAAAMCTTTTCCCATGAACCCAGTTGGTATAAATAGCAACTTTCATTGACAAAAACATAACACACTACTGAATATGCTTCYTCTTAACATCACCCAAGTGGTCAGCAGCAAGAAAAATGGCCTCAAGCTATCYGATGAGATAGTCTAACTGAATTCTTCTCAAATCACAAAACTGCCCATTGAAGGTGTTCATAACCCCAAAGGGGGGAGCAAAAACCTACTTTGGTTTCRGGTCAGGGGAAATGGGGAGCAGCCCCACAGAAGCATTCCCCACAGGGTCAGGGAATGAAGCAGAAGGGCCACATTTTTGTTACAACTGAGCTCTCATTCCAAAATAGTTGCATTCCCCCTTTGCAGACCTCAGACAGATTTAATTTATCATGGACAYTCACAAAATCTTTTTCAAACTTAATTCTGTGGACAAGCATTCATGACTACTGTAGAGCTTAAAGAGGAACACACTATCMAGTTACACTGCCTTCATCCCTTTTCATCACAGCTTTCTTAGTTGTTGATGCATATTCAGTTTAAAGAGCCSTTTTCCACTCTTATGTCAACACCAATAATTTTTAATTATTTCTTGCAAGTGTTTTCTCCATGTTCTTTATCAATGTAAAACACTGATAAAGAGTCCTACAAAYTAAAAACCAGTGCAAGAGCAGTAGAACAGACTCCCGTGTTAAGACTGAAATAGGGCAACATTCCATGTGAGGCATTGAGCATTGTGTTTGACAGTATTCTGGGTGAKGTATTGTTATTCCCATGTATCACATAGGACTATAATCTCATGATTTAGAGCCAAAGGTGTAAAAAGTTATTTCTAACTTCAATTAACATCTGATCAAAGGTAGGCTGCTCTGTTTGATTTCTAAATGACTTGCTACTTTAAAGCTGTCCTGTATKATAAATAATTTTCTATTTACAGATTTGGTTAAAAAGGGAGTACAACAGTAATACAGTAAAACAATAAAAAATATGTTGTTAGTATATGCTAAATGCAGTCTTAATTATAATATTTTGGAATGCAAAGCTGAATAATACTGCAGAAACAAATTAGACAAAGAACTGTGTAGTTACTTCAGAACAAGGGACAGAAAAAACATTAATATTGCTTCTACAGTTCCACAGTACTGGTGAGCCATGGATATCTGAAARTACTGGAAACATGCCATGGGCCAATTGGAGTAGAAGCCTAGGAAAATTGCTGATGAGCTCTGATGCAACAACAGCACTCCATGCTTTAGCATGGCAAAAACAAACTGGTGATGAACCTTCTGTGAGCGCACTTCCTCCCAGAGAGGCAGGGCAGGAGAACAAGGCAAGCAAAGTGAGGGAAACTGCAATTCAGAGAAATTCAACATCCTTTTTACAGGCACTTAAACACACCTTTTAYATTCACATCTTTTGAACCTAACTGAAACCCACACATTAAACAGAACTCAACCCGGTTCCACAACTGACTTACTAATRTGTTTGTTTAACCTACATAACAAGTATTTACTACCAGTTTGTAACTGCTGGTAACTAACCAAATCCTCTCAGCCACTAAGCTGGTATTAGTCAGGATGCTGCACTGAAAATTAAGCAGCTTTTGTGCAGAGACAGACATGCACAAGAAAGCAACTTGCTCATTTTCTTTCTAATGGCCTCAGCCTTCCAGAAACGATCCAAGTTCTCAATGAAGTCTGTCAGAACTGTGACAATCTGCAACAGAAACTCACAAATGCTTTGTGTATCTTCATTCTGCATGCTCAAATCAGGAACAGGTACTATTTATGCTGAGAATCAGTCATGTGACCTGGAAAACTGTTGTGAGGACTAAAAAACCAATAATTAACTTTAAAGAACAGCGTACTGATCATATTTGAAAAGCATTTGTTAAAGTTCTATTACTTGTTTAATCTCTTGATTTTTAACTGAGGACTCTTGCATTGTCATTCATTACAAATACCCAGAAGAGTTCAAATATTTAAACTCTTAATAATTCTCTAATGTGATCATCCAGAACAAAGAACATGAAAAAGTTGGCAATTTAGTGAACTATGTAATTTTAATCCAAAACCCTATGAAAAAGCAATGAAAAACCGAAGAAAGGTAAAATCGTAGCATAAACTCCTAAACTAAGGAGTTTAACCAAGGTAACAGAAACCAGTACAGGCATCAGCTAAAGCATGTTAGCCTGAATTATAACCTACATGTCAATTCCTTTCCTGACCTTTCTGCTTCCATAGCTTTGTGTGAATAGTACTGCTTGCTATTAACCTGGGACCTTTTTTGGCAAATCTGTATCCCTCTCTTACATTTAAAGTATTTTGTCATTGGAAAGCCTTTACATAATAATAAGTATKTGTAATTTATCAAGGCTTGAGCCAGAACAGACCAACACCTTCTGTCAATATTTCTGTGCCCCTCACCTTCTCTTCTCTTTCAAAGCAAGGGAAAGAGAAATGGTCTTCCCACTTACTGCAACATTAATCTCTAACATGGCAGTACACAAATATAAATTACTATCATTAAAACAGTATTTTTATAATAAAACTTCAGGAAGATTGCAGGTCTCTTGCCTCTCACACTAACAGACAAATACAAGAAAATAAAGAAGGGCAATTAGGTACCCAAAAAGCTTCTTCATTTCAGAAAAATACATCATGTCTCACAACGAGCTTCCAACAAAGTGCACCAGGACACCACCTTCCCCAGAGAACAGTTCTTGGAAGATGCATTTCATAGCCCTGATCACTAGCAGTTGCTATAAACACAAAATGCCCTATACGAGCTGCAGATCAACCTCTGGCAGAAGTCAACTTCAGTACAGATATTTTGCACACTGTAAATTCTCCCGMATTTCAACTGAGAAATACATCTGATCCTGACCCAATATGCAATATTTTCATCTGTCTTTATCAGCAATGTGGTACATTCTGTAGCCTGAACTAGATTTGTATTTCTAATCACAAGAAGGAGATACATAAATAAAAYTGAATCAACTGTAGTAGATACTACTTTTGTATCTGTTTTTCTTTTATAAAACATGCAGCCCTGAGATCTCAGTATTACTTGTTTTTTCATATTTTCATTTTTTCCTAAAAAGTCTCTGTGTATCTTTATATTCAGAAAGTCCTAAGTTTCACTACTGAYATTTAAAACTGGTCAATCTCTCATCAATCTCAAGTTATTTTCTAGAAGTATCCTCTTCTTAAAGGAGACAATGAGGAACACATACAATATCTTAATTCTGAGTTAACGTTCAACTTAGCAAGCAGAAAAACTAAAAGCACTCTTTAGAAGCTGTTAACATCAATTCCTACATGGAGAAAGGACTGGGAGGGCTCTGAAAGCAAACTCCTATGGCATGTGTCACCATGGTAATCTGAAAAATTATTATTGTGGCAATTTATGCTACACTCACTAAAAAACATCAACAGCTAAGCAGGGATTGAATACTTTCCTATCAACTTCCAATTACAATCGAGTATCTTTGGGTTTGTCTTTAAATTCAACCTGCAGCTATCTCTTCTGACCTATGCTTTCTCAGTGTGCTGCTAAGAAGGGTATGTTGCCAAGACTCCTTCAGCAAAGACAAAAGATTCTCTGGATCCTAAATACAGAAGACACATTGTTAGTAAGCTCTTAATAGCACAAAATTTCTCAGAAGGCACAGATGAGCTCCAGGCACATGGAAACATGGCATGGAAAAAGAGCATGGGCATACCAGAGGACAACCAGTGCATGAGCCCAAACATGTCAAAAGTCACTGCACTTACCAGATAGCCAGAGCTGCCCTGAATGTTATCACCCTTAAAATACATGTTTCATCTCCAAGATGACAAACCCACTCCAAMTCAAGTTCAGCTGGATGCTCAGATATACTGGGCCACAATTACAGATCCAGCATTCTGCCAGAAC